CTTCAGTTGATCTAGGTAGATTTGTAGTAAAAGACAGGGTTTCATCAAGGTTAAAAGTAGAGTCATCATCCTCCACATCAATAGTTTGTTTTTTGCCTTGTAGTACAATAGAACGCTGTTTATTCATTAGATCAATGACATAAAAATCTTGTTTTACGTTACTTGTTAACATGAAGGGCTCCTCTTTAAAACCAAGCCTCTTGAGATCAACTAAAATAAACCCAAATTTCTTATCTACTTCAATAGCATTAAAGTAAACTCACTTACATTTGAAAATAGGTACTTTGAATTTAGTGTAATTCACCTTCCATATCTCATCAACCACTCCGTAATAGTATGTGCAAGCCAATAATGGGTTATTATCTTTTGAACTAGAAAAAAAGCTGGGCTTTAGCTTCTACCGTTACCCCATTATTTTACATGGTACTTTTATCATCTTGGGCTTCTGTATAGAAGGAATATCCATTTATATCATACCCACCCCAACACACAACCTTAAAATGAGGTCTCTCAGCTAACCATATTATTGTATCAAACACATTAGTCGTATTGTGGTTATTAGCCAGCTACATTTCATTCTTCCTTGGGTATTTGTCTTTCAACAACTTTTTATAAGCATCTAAATAAGGTTGAACTTCTTTCATGTTATTCAAGATGTATAGATGTGCTTGCAAGACTTCTTCATGAGACATACACTTTACTCTGACCCCCTATGTTCCCTTACCAGCAAGTCTTGTCCCTTCATGCCAAGTTTAAGGGACTCCAACAGCCTTCAATCCTTTTAGATATGTAGTATAAAATTCAACAGCTTGCTTCTTTTGCTACATATCTTTCAATAATTGATGCTTCAGGCTTGTATGAGTTCTTAGAATACCCTTTTAGGATTTCCATGTATTGTTCAAATAGGTACATCCATCTAAGATAAATATGATCATAAAGTCTTACTTCTCTAAGAAAATGAATTATTAAATGCACCATAATGTCAAAAAATGCTGGAGCAAAGTGCATGTCTAATTAACATAAAATAATATAACCCTCATTTTCTAATTCATCCAACTTGTCAAGATCTATGACTTTGCTGCATATGGCATTGATGTAATGACCCTCAATTTTAGATTAAAAAAATTCTCCCAATAGATATTTTATTTAAATAAATTTTATAATAAGTACAATTGGTAGTTTAGAGGAACTTATGATAAAAATTTTCCTAAGAATCCAAAGTTTAAATTTTTCTGAGTAAAAGTTTAGTTTTAAAATTGTAGAAAAATCTTGTGTCCTTTCTTGTAAATTTTTTTTGTGCCTCTTATTGTGATTTTCTTGTGCTCTTTTTGTAATTTTTCCTATTGCTTCTTTTGGTCTGAATCAGTTCTTTCACGTGGATAAAAAAAGAAAAAAATAGAGCATCTCAATTTTTCTTCTCACTGCCCTCTCTAGATCCTCATATAGTTGGTTCATCTCTTTAAATCTTACCAACATTCTTAGCTCGCTATCAACAGTGAATTCATGTTGCTACTGTTACTTGTCTATTATCATTTTTGTTACTATTGTTTGCCCACCATAGTGAAGCCGAGCTACTGCTTCTCTTTCCCTATCATCGGCTGTTCATTCATTATGTGCTTTCAATGATTTGTTCATCTCTGTTGTGTGGAGTGGCTGACAATCTCTTCCCTATTTCTGCTCTATTTATCGTGGATGAAGGTGTGTGCTTGCATGCTCAGTTTTGTTTTATTTTTTTCCATTTTCCTTAGCTATTGAAAAGTTCGTGTATGCGTGTGTATATGGTAGATCGATGATGTTGTTTACTAGTTGGATTTTGGTCTCCTTTCCTTCTCATGCATATAGAAGCCTGAAGCTCTTCTTTATTCCTTCTTTGCTACCATTCTTGCTTTTTGTTTAGGTTGGCTTCCATGTGTATGTACATGTGCATGTGCATGTTTAGCTTCACCTATTATTATTTCTCAAGTGCTAAATGTCTTGTGAATGTACATGTAAGCTCAAATCCTTTGCTTTCTTGGCCATGATAGCTAGTCTTCTTCCTTATCATTCGAGCTGCAGAACAAAGCATTTTTTTTATCTTTTCCTTTTCAGCGTTGAATACATGATGGTTCTAAGCTATCATCACTGCACCTAAGGTTGAGGCAAATCATTAATCCTCTCTTCTCCCTCTTTGAGTGCAACAACAGCTATGAAACAATCACTTCCTTTCCCCAATTGCGTGATGTGGTCCTATTTTTTCTTCTTGGTGTTTTACCTTCAGCTAGGATTGAAGTGTTGCTTTGGTTGGGAGCTAGAAATCTTTCAATTATGTTGAGTTGAAATATAATTAATAATAAAATAAAAATAAATTGAAGTTTAGAAGTTGTTGGAATTTCTTGGTTATTTATTTCATAATTTTGTCAATAATAAATGCATGCCCTCAAGGTAATTGTAAAAATGTATGAGAGAAGAATTTGGTGAATTATAGTTCGTTAATCTTCCATATTATAGCTTAAAGGAGTAAATGTAAGCTTTAGTTCAAGTTATTAATTGAAAATTTTTAAAATTACCAAAGTAAGGAAAAATGATTATATAGGATGCTTGTTTATTTATTTATTTTAGTCTAGAGGAAGTTTAAGAATGATTGATATAATTTATAGTGATTTATGAGTGAATAGGGTCATAAGAAAGTATGAGGATAAAGAGTTGTCAAATGATTTGACTGACTCAAGTATACTTAAAATGTAATTAGTTATAGTTCTGTTAGTATCGATTAGATTGAATGTTGATACCCATTAAGTGCTTGGAAGATTATTTGATGAATGATTTTAGAATTTTGACTCATTTGTCAAGACATTAAGGGCTTCATTAGAATAGAGGTCAAAAGTTAAGAAAAGCAAGTTTTAGTATCCTTAGGAAATACTCAGGTAAGTGGATAGCGTCCCAAATAATTTTCCAATCAAATTTATCTTTGCTAAAATATTAGATTTTTATGTAAATCATTTTAATAATAACAATGTGATTATTGTTTATTTTGACACTAAAATTACTTTATTTTGTGAAAATCTTTATCAGATTTGATAATTTTAGTTGATCAATAAATACAAGTTTGGATTTTGATTATGAGATTTCATGCTATCAAATATTGAATTGATACAAAGAATTATTTATGCGAGTTCGACTTTGAAGATGAAAACTTTATATATTACTGGTGATTTCCTCGCATGATTGAAAATAGATTTGAAAGGAACTTTATATAGAATACTAGTTGCTAATGGTAGTTTCGTTAGCCCATTGTGCGCCATGGTCAATGACTAGCTAGTTTGATTTTCGTGAGCTTTGTTCTCATGTTTGTTCTCATGATTGAAAATAGATTTGAAAGGAACTTTATACAGAATACTAGTTGGTAATGGTAGTTTCGTTAGCCCATTGTGCGCCATGGTCAATGACTAGCTAGTTTGATTTTCGTGAGCTTTGTTCTCATGTTTGTTATTCACGGGTCTCGTACTCACATTTGTTTCGTGGCTTCAAACCGTGTTTGGTTAACATTACCCTCGTAAAATGTGTGTCCACATTTTTTTGTAGTTTTAGCTGCATTTGATTACTTACTCTCGTAGATTGTGTGTACATGTTTGTTTTTGTGGCATAAGCTGCATTTGGTTATTTACCCTCATGGACTGTGTGTCCACATTTGTTAATTGTACTGATAAGTTCCTATAATTTTAAATCTAATTATTTGGAGATTTTATTTTTCATTGGTTTTTATTTAGTAATTTGTTTATAAATATTTATTTCACTTATGTGCTTTTTTGAAATCAAGTGATATTAACAATTGCTATGATAATTCAATGGTATAAGATTTTATTTACAATTTTATAGAGCCATTTTATGATGAAGTTTATTAAATTTTTTATATGAAAATTGTTGTCTCTTAATTTACATAATTATTTCAAACTTTTCTTTTTATTCATGTTAAATTATTTATTGTTGAGGCGTTATTCACTGAAAAATATTTTTGGTCCCAGATACCTTAGTTGATGTTAATACTTATACTAATCTTGAAAACTTTTATGCGTGCTGAGGGGAGAGTTGATAGAAGTCCCTCCTTAAGATGTAATGATAATTTATGTGTATTTCATTCTAGAAAATATGGCTAAGTGTTCCATGATTATAGCTAGGGTTTCTATTTAATACACACACACACATGTTACTTACTGGCTGGGAGGAGTTGAGCTCTTAATTGATATAAGATTTTTGTGAAATTTTTGTATTGTAGAATTTTCGAGAGATCTTACTTATAGGGGAGGTTTTGTTAAAATTTCTATAAAATGTTAAAGATTTGTTATAATGATTAGTATCAATATAGATCTGATTATATTTTAGAAATGGAATTAACTTACGTTTTGAGGCTTACGAGAATGTGTGGCACCGTTCACACCTCGTGCCAATCACCCTCTATTTTTGGAGCGTAACAATTAAAGAATATACACAATCTAGTTATCGTGCGTCTCATATCATCTTTCATAATCCCTCAAATAGCCACTGGTAAAAGTTATTGCATTAATACATGACAGTCATGAGACTTCATGCCTAGTAACTTCAAATCACTCATTGAGACAAGTCTTCTAACATTAGAAGAATACCCTTGTGGTACTTTAATAGCATGCAAACATTCACATAAACTTCTTTTCTCCTCTTTAGATAATGTGTGCACTGCTGGGGTAAATAAGCTTTCTTCCCTTCTTTTTATTATGCATGTAAGCATTTTCTTATTCCCATTTCAGCTAAATCTAGTTTGGCATTTATTTCAGCCTTAGTCTTCCCACTAATGTACAAAAGTATACCAATAAGACTATTACACATATTTTTCTCCACATCCATCACATCAAGACTACGCCTCACATCTAAACTCCGCCAATATGGAAGATAAAAAAAAAGGATCTCTTTTTCCATATATTCTTCTCACTTCCATTCCTTTTATTTTTATTAAAAATGACATTGATTCCTTGCACACGTTGATAGACTTAGTCTCCAGTTAAGGCCTTTGGAGCCATTTCATACTCCTGTGAGCCATTAAAAGCCTTCTTCAACCTACAATAAGGATAGTACCAATCAAGAAGTCTTCAATGACCAAGGTAGACAATTTTTCTTCCATGCTTAAGTTGGTGATAGTATGTGCCTTCTTCACATATAGGACATGCATTATGGCCTTTAATACTATATCCTAATAAGTTTTCATATGCTGGAAAGTCATGTATTGTTGTAAAAATCATGGCACACAACTTGAAGTGTTCTTGCTTGTAAGCATTAAATAGATCTACACCTTCCTCCCACAGCATTTTCAAGTCCTCAATCAAAGACTCCAAGTAGATATTAATATTATTTCCTGGCTGGTTTAGTCCTGAAATCATCACAGACAATGTTATGTACTTGCGCTTCATATACAACCAAGAAGGTAGATTATAAATAACTAATAAAACTAGCCATATACTGTGTGTGCTACTAAGATTTCCATATAGGATGTGTCACACCCCAACACTTAAAGGTATGATCGGCATGGAATATAAGGTGAGCTCATATTCTATAAGCCTCAATTAATGACAATTTAGCTAAAATCTCAATATATGTAAGTTATATTCATTAATAATAAAGTTAGAAAAGTCTAAATGTTTTGTAAAAATTTCGGCAGAGTCTCCCCTATAGTTTGACCCTCCCAAAATTTTCACAACAATAACAAAACCTGTCAGCCTAACCAATAAGGAGATTATTTCCATTTTAGCAATTTACATCATAACAAAAGAGATTAATGCCTAATCATAAGGTACATGGAGCACTAACTTATAATTTACAAAATGCAAAATGAAATTTCACCAAAAAGAATAGTCACCATGTGCTTCCTTTTTCCATAAAAATAAGAAGGCCTTCAATGGTCAGCTGGAGGCGCAGGATTAACTATACTATTTGAGATCAAAAATTTACCAGTGAGTAGCGTTCTAATTAAAATTGTAGTAAAGAAATATGAAGATCATAAATAATAAATTTAACTTCAATGCCTTAATGAAATAATGAATTGTCCTTAACTAAAATAGATAACAATCTTAATTTTTTTTTATTTTTTTAAGATGATCGTGAAATTAGTCAATGCTAGTGAAGTCACACATATATGTTTAAAATAAAAATCCCACTACTCTTAAAATATAAAAATATTTAATAATGGTGCAATTTGTCAATGCTAGTGAAGTCACACATAAATGTTTAAAGTAAAAATCCCACTACTCAAAATATAAAAATATTTAATAATGGTGCAATTTGATAAAAAGGCTTTTAGAGAATAAATAGAAAACTGAAAATGTTAACAAAAATTTAGGAGGGCTTTATCAAAACGAATAACAAGCATGGACACACAATTCACGAGGGTAAATCACCTATCAAGTATGATTGAAAGCCATGTAATAAGCGCAGCAAGAGCCACGAATTAAGCAAAGGCATAAAGCCCACAAAAACAAGCGTGAGTACAATGCTCACGAATAACTATCCCTCTGTTCCACGTGCGTTAGCCTGCGCATGGGGCTAGTATCTCCCAGAAGCACCCTACTAGCTAGGTGTACCATGGGGCGCCAAGGGCTAATGAAATTGCCGTTAGCATTCAGCATTATGAATTCAGTCCCCTTCAATAAACTTTAACATGTATGAAGTAAGAGAAAATTTCAAAATTTTCTTCTCTCTTCTTCTTTTTCCATTTTCAAATAATGATCAATTATTATTATTATTATTACTTCATCAATACTTGTCAACTATATAAACTACCAACAAAATCAACACCTTCGCTTTAATAAAATGATTATTAGGAAAATAGGATAAATGAGAATAATTGTACAATTTATAAAAGATAATTGCTAAAATTCTAAATAGGGAGATTTTTGTAAACACTTTCCTAAGAATTTATTTAGAACGCTACCCACTCACCTAAGAGTTTCTCAATTTTTAAAGCTCGATCACTCTAACCTCTCACCTTAATTCCAATAACACCATTAGATTCCTAGCAAGTAAATCAAAAATCTTAAAATTGCTTATCAAATTGGCAACTTGACCTTGATCCAACCATATAAACAATTTCAATATGCTTTCTAAACACATTTCTTCATTGGAAATAGATTACTCAAGACTAACAAAGAAAATTATCCAGCAGCACTAATGTAGAGAAAGGTTTACACCATATAGAAGGAAGAAAAATTAATCCTAGGCTAAACTTCCGATCCCAGTGTAACATTTTAGTCCTAATGACAATTAGAGTAAAAGAAGGAGGGAATGATTCAATGGTTCTGCATAGTGTAATGAGAGAGAAAGAACACAATATCTCACCTCAACAAGGCTTAGTGGCAGTAAGTCTGATGCAGCCACTGAACGACGTCAAAGCAAAAAAAGCTAGGGGTTTAAATCTGTCAACACATGAGGAGGAAGAAGCTAGGATTCCAATCAACAGTAAAAGAAGCAGCAACTACCTACACCTATATTGAACTTCGTCGATAGGGAAGGAAGAAAAGAGGAAAAAAAATAGCCACCGTGCATACCTAAATTCAGCACAAAATAGAGCAAGAGAATGAGGAAGGTATGCCTTTCCACTGTGACTAACAAACAATGGCCGAGGAGAAGAGGAAGGTGGCAACTAAGACAGTAAACTGCTGACAGACTCTCGTGGACACGAAACAGCACGATATAGTGGGAGAAAATCAGCAACTCCGTTTAAACGTGACTAACAACAAGGATGAGAAGGTAAGGTGATATGAAGCAACAACAGCCATAAAATGGTCAGTTAACAGTGAGTTAAGTGTGTTGATAAGGGTTAAAGGAATGGACTGACTTAAATGATCTAGAAGAGTGTAGGAAGGCGGTCAGAAAATGAATCAAGGAGCTATGTTTTTCTCCACACAAAGGAACCAAAATCAGAACATAAAGAGCATGGGAAAATTTACAAAAAGGAGCACAAGGAAATTACAATAAAAGGCATAAGAAAATTACAATAAGGAACACAAAATTTTCTTATAATTTAAAAGCAAGGTTTTTCTTTAAAAAGTTTAATCCTTGCACAAATTCTAACAGATTTTTTTCCTATAAATGCCCCCTTTTTATTTCTATGAAACTTATTTAAATAAAAATATTTTAAAAAAATTTGTTTGACTTAAAATTTAGGGTCATCACATTCTTCCCCCTTAAGAAATTCGGTCCCTTGAATTTGAAAAGAGTTTACTTACCTTAATTTTAGAATAAATGTGGATACATGTCTCGCATTTCACTCTCTACTTCCCAAGTGGCTTCTTTAATAGAATGATTACGCCATAATACTTTCATAGAAGCGATCTCCTTCGATCTTAGTTTCTTTATTTGCCTTTCAAGAATGGCTACTGGAACTTCCTCATAGGTTAGATCTTCATTTATTTGGACTTTTTGAGTTTCAACCACATGAGAAGGATCATACAAATATTTCCGCAGCATTGATATATGAAACACGGGATGAATGCCAACCAACTTTGGAGGCAATGCAAAACGATAAGCAATAGCATCCACTCTTTCCAGTATTTCAAATGGACCAATATACCTCAAGCTAAGTTTACCTTTCTTCCCAAACCTCATAATACCTTTCATAAGTGATATTTTCAAGAAAACTTTATATCCCACCATAAATTCTAACTCTCTATAATAACAATCTGCATAAGACTTTTGTCTACTTTGAGCTATTAACAATCTCTGTTTGATAACTTGCACCTTTTCTTTAGTATCTTGCACAAAATCCAGTCCCAAAATTTTAGCATCCCCAACTTCAAACCAACCGATCAGAGATCTACACTTCTTACCATATAAGGCCTCAAATGGTGCCATTTGTATACTCGCTTGATAACTATTGTTATATGCAAATTCCATTAATGTTAAATGCTAATCCCAACTTCCTACAAAGTCTAAGACACAAGATCTCAACATATCTTCAAGGATTTGAATTGTCCTCTTAGATTGACCATCTGTTTGTGGATGAAATGTAGTGCTAAGATCTAGTCTAGTTTCTAATGCTTCTTGAAATGATCGCCAAAACTGTGATGTAAATTGTGGTCCTCTATCAAAAATTATAGATACTAGAAATCTATGTAAATGTACAATTTGATTGACATAAATTCGAGCATAATCACTGGCAGAATATGTCGTCTTGACTGGAATGAAATGTGTAGATTTGGTCAATCTATTGACAATGACCTAAATAGAATTATACTTCTTAGTGGTTCGAGGTAAACCTGTAACAAAGTCCATTATAACATTTTCTATTTCCATTCTAAAATTTCCAGTCATTGAAGTAGCCTGCTGGCTTTTGATGTTCTGCTTTAACTTGTTGACATACAAGACATCGTGAAACAAAGTCTACTACATCACCTTTCATTCCATCCCACCAATACAATTGCCTTAAATCTTGATACATCTTTGTTGACCCTGGGTGGATTGTATATGCAGAATGATAAGCTTCTTTCAAAATACGTTTTCTCAATTCTTCAACTTGTAGAACACAAATCTTATTGTCACGCCTTAAAATTCCCTCCTGGTCAATAATGAACTTAGTATTTTCCCCCTTCTTAACTAGTTCCATTAATTTATCAAGTTTTGGATCCGAATTTTGAGTAGCTTTAATTTGATCAATTAAAGAAAAACGGGCTTGCATGTGTGCCAAAAATACCCCCATTTTAGCAATTTCCAATTCCATCTTGCTCAAGTGTATGAATTTCTTACATTAAAGGTCTCCTTACAGCAATTACATGTGCCAAGCTACCCATAGACTTTCTGCTTAGGGCATCAGCTACAACATTCGGCTTACCAGAATGATATCGAATAATGTAGTTGTAGTCTTTAAGTAATTCCATCCATCTTCTTTGCCTAAGATTGAGATCTTTTTGCTCAAAGATATATTTAAGACTCTTATGATCAAAAAAAAATTTCACACATTTCTCCATACAAATAACGTCGCCAAATCTTTAAAGCAAAAACAACTGCTGCCATTTCTAAATCGTGAGTTGGGTAATTTTGTTCATATTTCTTAAGTTTCCTAGATGCATATGCAATTACTCTTCTATTTTGCATCAAAACACAACCAAGGCCAACTCGAGAAGCATCACAATAAACTACATATCTACCTATCCCTAATGGCAAGCTTAACACCGATACAGACGTTAAACAATCTTTTAGCTTCTAGAAGCTTTCCTCACATTCATCACTCCATACAAACTTCACATTTTTCTAAGTCAATCTAGTCAATGGTGTAGCTATTCTAGAAAAGTCTTTAACAAAATGACAATAATAACCAGCCAGACCTAAGAAGCTCTAAATCTCAATAACCGAAGTAAGCCGTGGCCAATTTTGAACTACTTTAACCTTGCTTAGATCTACCTGTATACCATCTTTAGACACAATATGGCCTAAAAAGGTAACTTGATTAAGCTAAAATTTACATTTAGAAAATTTTTCATAAAGATGATGCTCCCTCAATGTCTGCAATACTAATTGCAAGTATTTTTCATGTTCTTCTGCACTCCTTGAATAGACCAAAATATCATCAATGAAAACAATTACAAACTTATCCAAAAACGATCTAAATACCCAATTCATCAAATCCATGAATGCATTCGGTGCATTTGTCAACCTAAAAGACATTACCAAAAACTCATAATGACCATATCAAGTTCTAAATGCTATTTTTGGAATGTCCTCTTTCTTAATTTTTAAATGGTGATACCTGAATGTAAGTCAATCTTTGAGAAACACTGAGCTCCTGCCAATTGGTTAAAGAGATCATTAATACGAGGCAACGGATATTTATTCTTTATAGTTACCTTGGTAAGCTGCCGATAATCAATACAAAGTCTTAATGACCTATCCTTCTTTTTCACAAAGAGGACCGGTGCTCCTTAAGGAGAAGTACTAGGACGAATGAATCCCTTGTCCAAAAACTCTTGCAGTTGACCTTTCAATTCTTTTAGTCAGATGGTGCCATTCTATAAAGGGGGATTGAAACTGGTTGAGTGCCCGAAATCACATCAATAGAGAATTCAATTTGCCTATCTAAGGGTAATCCAGGTAACTCATCTGAAAAAACATCAGGAAATTCTCTAACTATTGGAATTTGTGTTATACTAGAAAATGGTTTCTCAACATCCCTTACCAAGGCTAAGTATCCTTGACAACCTTTCATTAAAAGCTGTTGGGCTTTCAGGGTTGAAATTAAACCAGTCGATCTATCAATTTGATTCCCTTACAAAATAAAAGGAGTTTCTCCAGGAATTTCAAATCTTACGACTTTCAAGTGGCAATCAACAGTAGCATGACAAGAAGTTAATCAGTCCATGCCCAAAATTATATCAAAATCAATCATGTCTAATATCATTAAGTCAACTAAGGTTTCTCTATCCTCAAGAGATACTTCACATGCTTTGTATCCCTGCTTAACAAAAAAACTTCTCCTACTGGAGTAGAAACCATAAAAGGGTTATCAAGTTTGATGGGTTCTTTACCCAACTTCTTTGCAAAATACACAGAAACATATAAATGGGTTAAACCGGGATCAATTAATGCATATGCACTTTTAGAACATACAGAAATAATACCTGTCACCACATCATTTGAAGCTCGAGCATCTTGTCGGGTTATAGCATAAACACATGTTTGTCCTTGTCCTAAAGATTTTCCTCGTTTCCCAGATGCTTTTTCAGACATACCTCTTCCAGCGATAGTAGAAGGTACTCCTACAGAAGTAGTCGAGTGTGGAGGTGGTCGAACAGATCCCTGGCTAGACCGTAATTGAATAAGAGGACAATTTCTTCTTAGATGACCAATCTGTCCATACTCATAACAAGCACCAGATGCCTTGTAACAAGGTCCAGAATGAAAATTCCCACAAGTGGCACAAAGAGTTCTAGCATAGCTCAGTTGAATCGAAGCTAGTTAAGATTACTGTCTAGGACTCCCAATATTGTGTCTGGACATTAGAATACTCGTATAAAGGGCATAAGATCTAGACATCTGCTGCTTTCTATGAGAATAGAATTTCCCTTGAAATTTATCACTCTTGGAAGAAGAACCTTGGAATCTCAATTCATCTTCTCTCTTACGTTTTTTTAAAACTGTCTTATTTTCTTGATGCTTCAACTCAATCCTAAGAGCAGCATCCATGGCCTGTAAATAGTTGGTAAAGAGCTCCATCATCACAGAAACTAGATCATGTATCTCCTGAGGTAAACCATGAACAAATCTATGGATCCTCTCTTTCTCTGAAGGTACTATGTGAGGAGCAAAAGAAGAAAGCTCTACAAATTTTCGATCATACTCCGATACGAACCCAGTACATTTCAAATTTAAGAATTCTTCAATCTTAACATCTCTCTTACTTTGTGGAAGATAAAGTTGAAGGAATACATTCTTGAATTCTTCCTATGATAAAGATGGTACTCTTTTATCCTTAACACCTGGAATAGTTTTAATCCATTCCTTGACCACCCCACTATACAAGAAACATAACAAAAATGTTTAGTTCAAAACATAATGATTATTTAGGAAGCATAATAAATAAGGAAGAAAGTAACTCTTTTTGAGACATCCTAATTGAACCTTCAACGAATTCTTATTATTATGTCTGGGTTCATAATAATAATTGAAACTTCAAAGAATCCTTGCTCCACGTAATCAAATAAACCTAAGTTCTGATACCATCTATAACACCCCAACACTTAAGAGTATGATTGGCATGAAATATAAGGTGAGCTCATATTCCATAAGCCTCAATTAACGAGAATTTAGGTAAAATCTCAGTATATATAAGTTATATTCATTAATAATAAAGTTAGAAAAGTCTAAATATTTTGTGCAAATTTTGGCAGAGTGTCCCCTATAATTTGAACCTCTCGAAATTTCCACAACAACAACAAAACCTATCAGCCCAACCAACAAGGAGACTATTTCCATCTTAGAAATTTACATCATAATAAAAGAGATTAATGCCTAATCATAAGGTATGTGGAGCACTAACTTATAATTTACAAAATACAAAATGAAATTTCACCAAAAAGAATAGTCACCATGTGCTTCCTTTTTACCTAAAAATAAGAAGGCCTTCGATGGTCAGCTAGAGGCGCAGGATCAGCTATACTATTTGAGATCAAAAATTTACTGATGAGTAGCGTTCTAGTCAAAATTGTGGTAAAGAAAATATGAAGATCATAAATAATAAATTTAACTTCAATGCCTTAATGAAATAATGAATTGTCCTTAACTAGAAATAGATAACAATCTTATTTTTTAAATTTTTTTTAAGATGATCGTGAAATTAGTCAATGCTAGTGAAGTCACACATATATTTTTAAAATAAAAATCCCACTACTCTTAAAATATAAAAATATTTAATAATGGTGCAATTTGTCAATGCTAGTGAAGTCACACATAAATGTTTAAAGTAAAAATCCCACTACTCAAAATATAAAAATATTTAATAATGGTGCAATTTGATAAAAAGGCTTTCAGAGAATAAATAGAAAATTGAAAATGTTAACAAAAATTTAGGAGGGCTCTATCAGAACAAATAACAAGCGTGAACACGCAGTCCACGAGAGTAAATCACCCATCAAGCGTGACTGAAAGCCACGTAACAAGCATGACAAGAGTCACGAATCAAGCACGGGCATAAAGCCCACAAAAACAAGCGTGAGTACGATGATCACGAATAACTATTCCTCCGTTCCACATGCGTTGGCCTGCGCACGAGGCTAACACCTCCCAGAAGCACCCTACTAGCTAGGTGTACCAAGGGCTAACGGATCTTTTGTTAGCATTCAGTGTTCTGAACTCAGTTCCCT